TGTTAGTCTTTAAAGTGCTACATAGTTCTGTCTTTTGTTTCAGCTACACCAGACTAACACGGCTACATTTCTATCACTGTTCCCTTGAGACTTTCATCCTCCTTAAGAGCACTGGGGTTCTCAGACTGGAGGTGGGACAGTGCTACAGTGTCCCAGAAAGTCTCATCAGCATAACTCTGTCTCCCTTAGCTCCTTCAGTTCAGCCACCCTGGCCTCCAAAGCTCGAACTCGGTCTCTGAGGGTCAGGAGCTCCTTGCAGTGGGAGCACAGATACGCCACCCACCCACAGGGCAGGTAATCATACGTGTTACACTCGACGCAATAGACAAGATAGCCCCCACTCTGTTGCTGGGCTTCTGTCTCCATTTTTCTTATGAAAAAGTTTAATTATAAACTGGGCTTCTTATTAAATGTGTGGAATACAGATTATTATAAAAGTTATGTTTAAAGAAGCTCAGAAGAAACTAGAGCCCTCTAACCTCCCTCTCTAAACTCTCTCTCAAAACTCCCTGTTTGCTGCTCCTGGTCGCTGACTCACAGCTTTATAAAGCCCTGGTAGCCCCTCCCCCTGACTAAGGCTCAGCCAATTAACAGAGGCTTCTAGATTTCAAACCTTTAGAAGCTTCCAGCTGCCAGCCACAGCACACACTCCTTCAAATAAACAAACAAACCAAACAGACAAAACACAAGCTCAGCACACAGCAAGTAACGCCCCCCACACACAAACACACACTACAGACAGCCACTTACCTCAAGGGTCCCGTATTTACTCCTCTTTTACCTGGAGAACTCCCTCTCAAAACTCTTAGACAATCTAGTTTATTTCCAAGAAACGTACAAACTCCTATGTCTCTGAACACAGAAAAAACCAAGAACAAAAGGAGCAGTTTTTTAGCTTACCAGCCTGCGAGCCTCTTTAGCCAAAAGCAGACTCCAAAGCTCTCTCTTTTTTTTTTTTTTTTTTTTTTTTTTTTTAAGGGTCTTGCTGAGCTCATGGGATCCAGCTTGGCTTTTTCTCCTGTCCCCTTCCTCTCTGGCTCAGGTTGTGCGATCTCTCTTCCGGCACCTGCCTATCCAAAACAATACCCAGCCAAAAGTTCCTGGGCAGGTTCACACGCACCTTTTTCTTGGGTTGGGGGTTATGCTTACAGTTATGTTGACTAAGGGGGAAGTGCATACTTATCAGTCTCCATAGGATTTTAACTTAACCCCTATCCAAGTTTTAGCCAAGATTTATGATCTAGTTATTCCTGAAATACTCCAACTCAGCTTGGTTCTGGTCTTGGGCAGTTGGTACTTGGCTAGCAAGTGGTTCCTTGCTCAGATGTTACGATTCAGTAAAGTAACTCTTCTAGGCCTTGCCACTGTTACAGCTGGACTATCTCGTAATTTCATTCAAGAGGTAATTTTCCTTTGTCCGAGATCCCAGCTGCCTGTTCCTCTAAGACACTTGCCTTTCAGATGCTTGGTTGTGTTCTATATGGGAGAAGATCCATCTCCACTCAGTTCGTAGGAGTTTTCCTTGTTATCGGTTGGCATTAGGGGAGGGCGCATGGTTTTGTGACAAAAGCAATGGACTGGGACTCGGGTGATCTTCCTCAGTCACAGACTTCTTGTGTGACTTTGATTGTCACTTAGTCTCTCTGGGCTTCCATTCCCCTTTGTGTTCAACGGAGCTAATGGCCCTGCTCTACCTCACAGGGAGATTATGAAGACAAAACCCACTAATCATTTGAGGAGGCTTCGATACCATAGTAGAGGAGGACATGTCAGTCCTGGTACAGGGCTAGACAATTGTTTAACATAAGCCATTCACTGTAAGAATTCTTGTAAGCAAACCCATGAACGGAAGCCAGAGCACAGGACAGATTCTTATCACATTTTCCATCGTTTATGGTTTGTTAGAATTTTTTTTCCTGCTCTCCATTGTTTGCAATGACTCCCAGTAAGGCTTAAAAATAAACCCTATTTCCCCGCTGGCTTTGTCTTTTTTCCATGTTGGCAAGCCTTGATTTCCTGTCCTTCTAGAACAGCCTGAGACCAAAGTGGCCTTTTTTCTTTATTTACTTCCTCCCTGTTTGTGTTCAAACATCGTTTGGTAACATCACCCCACGTGTGGGAACAGGGTTTAGTAAGTAACTGCTGAGCAGTACTAGTAGAGAGCGCACACGAGCCTTACATGATTTTCATAAAAACTTACCTAAATTAACCATTTGTGTCAGGGTGTGTGTGTGTTAATATATTAGTGAATGAGGGGTGGATTTTACCATGTGTGTGTGACATTAATACTTGGATCCCTGAAAGTGTTATCCTATAGTGCAGAATAGCCTAGGGAACCTAGACAATTTTGGGGCACTGGATTGGAAGAAAAAGGATACAGCTACACAGCAATCAAAGACCCACAGCACCAAATGTGAGCCTGGATCAGTTGATTATGGTTTCTGGGGCTCAGGCTGCAGATTCTGCAGTCCAGCCTAAACCTGTATGTTTCCTGCAGGTCAAGCCTCACAAGCCCCAGCCAGCTGATCTGCGTGTTAGGGATACATCTACACAGTCATTAAACAACCATAGCTAGTCTAAATCAGCTGACTGGGGCTCATGGGCCTTGAGCCACAGGGCTGTAAAATTCCTGTGCAGATGTTCAGGCTCAGTTTCTGAAGCCCCAAGAGGCAGGAAGATCCCAGACTGGGGTTCCAGCCTGAGCCTGTATGTCTCCACAGCAGTTTTTAGCCCAACAGCCTGAACCTCAGGAGCCTGAGTGAGTTGATTCTGGCTAGCTCTGACATAGGCCTTTTATTCCAGTATAGACATACCCTAAGGCTCAGTGCTGTGGGTCTTTAATTGTTGTGTGGATGTATCCTAAGGGCAGGTCTACACTATGGGCCAAACTGATGGGAGCAAGGATTGATCCAGCAGGGATCAATTTATTGTGTCTAGTACAGACATGATAAATTGACTGCTGATCGCTCTCCCATCAACTCTGGTACTCTACCTCAATTAGAAGTACAAAGGGAGTCAATGGGAGAGTTTCTCCTGTCGACACTCTGATGCAAAGATGCCATAGTTAGTATGTTGACTTCAGCTACACTAGTCACGAAGCTGTAGTTATACAACTTAGACTGATCTCTGCCTCCCCCACTTCCTGCTAGTGTAGACAAGCCCTAAGAGACCTGGACTTTATTCCTGGCTCTGCCACTGACCAGCCATGTGACACTGACCAAGTCAGCTCCCCTTTGCATGCATCTGTTTTCTTCTCTGTACAATGGGAATACACTATACTTATGCTTCATTTATGAACCACTTAGCTATCTGGGATGGAAAGTGCTATGTGAAAGCTAAATATCTGCAGCTATCCTGCTAATAAAATTACGTCCCTTTATAGATGATCCTTAAAATATTCAGACAGCTGTTTTAAACCAGATGACTTGTCAGTGAATTTCATTAGCAAAACACCTTGCATCTGATTTGTTTTAAGGTTTGCTTTGGTTTTGGTATCTAGAATTATTTAAAGTGAAACTGATCAACAACTTAGAATGTGTAAATATTTAAGGAATATTAAAATCCATCCAGTTACCTTAGCATCCATATTTATCGCTATAACAATATTGGATGGTTCTACCTTGTTACTTCTATAAAGTGAGTATGTACAAACCTGTGCCCTGAAAGCATTTTATACTAAATGGCACTTCACACTTCAAGAAGAGATTAATTTTTAACTATCTGGCTCTTATTTGTAATATCTTGGGTAAAACTGAGTTTACCTGCCTACAGCCCAGCTAATTGTATGATGAGAGCCAGGTCTGGGTAGGTGAAATTTGCTATACAGCATGCAGTGTGTGACAGGGAAGGTGGTTACAACTGCTGTCCTATCCTATGGTCATAGCCCCTCCTCTTTAGTTAGAGCCCCCCCCCCCCATTGGGTCTCGTTAGGAGGAGTATTGACAGCAGATGGAGGGAAGTGGTTATTCCCCTCTATTTGGCACTGGTGTGAGGCCACATCTGGAGTACTGCACCCAGTTTTGGCTTCCCCACTACAGAAAGGTTGTGGACAAATTGGAGCGAGTACAGCAGAGGGCAATGAAAATGATTAGCAGACTGGATCGCATGACTTATGAGGAGAGGCTGAGGGATTTGGGCTTATTTAGTCTGCAGAAGAGAAGAGTGAGGGAGGGATTTGATAGCAGCCTTCAACTACCTGACGATGGAAAGAAGCTGTTCTCAGTGGTGGTAGATGAGATGTCCATAAGCAACCTTGTGCTACTACCCAGTCCACCAATCAACACTGGGTTTCTAAAGACCTGATTGTTCCTTCTTGCAGTTGGCTTTTATGAGTTTTTGCTAGCTGAGTCCCTACCTCATGTGTGAAGCAGCTGCTCCTTTGCTTGGTAAAGAACTAAGTGTCTCACAGATGCAAGGATTAATACATGATTGATACATATGAAACACCTTCTGTAAACGATTAACAGAAGCCAAGACACGTATTGTTCCTGCTCTGTGCAAGTGACATAGCTTTCCTCTTCTCCATGATATTAGTTGAAAGACTAATCTTTATAAAAAGCATGTACATTTTAGTGAGGGTGGAAAATATACTTCACACATTGGAATTTACCTGTCTGGAATCAATGCAGGAAATTGGTTGCATTATCCACTCTTGGTCCTGATCTGCTCATCATACTTGTTGCATTTTGACAAGTCAAGTTACTTAATCAGACTCTCACTGATCGAAGGGTCATCTGCAAAATCATACAAAAATGGGGTTGAGTCTCTTTTACGTGCCTCTTTATGATCCATAGAGGAGAACCAGAAGACTTCTTTGGTTCCTTTTTAACATGTATTGGTTTGAGCTGGCTTCTCTATTTTGAACATAAGAACGGCCATGCTGAGTCAAACCAAAGGTGCGTCTAGTCCAGTATTCTGTCTTCCATCAGTGGCCAATGCCAGTGGCCCCAGATGGAATGAGCAAAGCAAGAATCATCAAATGATCTATCCCTTGTCCCTAGCTTCTGGCAAAGAGAGGCTAGGGACACCATCCCTGCCCAACCTGGCTAATAGCCGTTAATGGACCTATCCTCGAATTTATCTAGCTCTTTTTTGAACCTTGTTCTAGTCTTAGCTTTCACAGCATCCTCAGGCAAAGAGTACCACAGATTAACTCTGCATTGTGTGAAGAAGTACAGGTTGAAACTCTTAATTGGGATTCTCTGATCTGGCCACATCCATGGTTCAGCACGGATGTTGCAGGACCAGAGAGTCCTGGTGGAGAGCTAGTGACAAGGATCCCTGAGAGGCCAGCAGGGCAGTGGGCTGCCCACAGTGAGCTTGCCATCAGTGCTCAATGGGGTTGGAAGACACGTATGTGGCTGCCAGGTGGGGATGGGAGCTGTGGTAGCCTAGTGGGGTGGGGATGCACAGCTGCCCGGTGGGACCCAGAGCCCCAGCATGGCACACGTGGCTGCCTGGTGGAACCTGGAGCCAGGGCAACGATCGCGGGTCAGCAGGGCCAGCAGGAAGTGAGGAGCCAGCTGGGAGGCTAGCAGGCCGGATGAGGGGGCCAGCAGCAGGGGGGCAAGAAATGACTTCACCTGGTTTGGCAAAATCCCTCATCTGGGACTGGTCAGGTCCCAAGGGTGCCAGACCAGGGAGGTCCAACCTGTATTTCCTTGTACAGTAAAACTCCAGTTGTCCAGCATCCAGTGGCCGGCACTCCTAATAGTCCAGCACCACCTGGAACCTGGAAATGCTCCAGGCATCCCCCCAGCTTCCCCAAGTCAGCTGCTGCTGATGGGCGGCGGACTTGGAGAAGCTGGGGGCAGAGCGGCTGGGGTGCTGCCAGGTCGGTCCTGCAGCGCTGCCCCCCCAACTCACCAACCCCACCCCAGACCCTTCATAGGCCCCCCCTTCTGATAGTCCGGCATATTTGATAATCTGGCACCCCCTGTGTCCTAAAGGTGCCGGATTATCAGAAGTTTACTGTATGTTTAAACCTGCTTCCTATTTATTTCATTTGGCGACCCTTTGTTTTTGTGTTATGAGAGAGTAAATAACACTTCGTTTACTTTCTGACTCTTTGTTTTTTTTTCTCCCCATTAGTCAACTCTTTTCCAAGATGAAAAGGCCCAGTTAATCTCTCATCATATGACAGCTGTTCTGTATCCTTCATAATTTTTGTTGTCCCTTTCCAATATCTATTTTTGAGATGAGGTGACCACAGCTGTATGCAGTATTCAAGATGTGGGTGTGTCTTCACTAAATTATCAATTCTTTGGTCCCATCAGCCAAGGGTTAACGGAGCTTTTAATCCACATCTCTGAGACCACTTTTCCTCACCTCCCAAATTCTATGACAAAAGCACGGAAGGATAGTCTAGACATTCCTTATATTGATAAGGTGAAAAGTGTCAGAGGGGACCCTTTAAGATGACTTTCAACCTTTCATATGTGAACTAGTAACAACACATAAATAATATGGGGAGCACAATCTTTTTTTTCCCCCCTCCCCCTTTTGCAGATCAGTGCTGAAGAGGATAAATGAATCATAACAATGTGCGTCCAGATATTCAGCAGGTGTAAATCAGCATCACTATGGCAACTGCAGTGTAGCTGCACCAATTTATAGCGGCTGAGGAACTCTACTATAATTTTTGTTTAAAAGCTTTTCTTCCGGTGTTACAAGATTTTCCTACAACTCCCAGAAATATCTGGAGCTGTGATGTCAATACCGTGGTGTCCCACCCTTGTCTGGAGCCACTAACTACAAAGGCCTCTAGAATTAGACAGAAATGATTCTCTGCTCTGGCAGCTATTTGTGTAAACCTTGCTTATCTCTCTATCTGACCAGCAATGTTAAATTACACTCTGTAATGTATCGTTAAGTGCAACAACAATTAAATACCAATGAAACGTATCCCAGCCAACAGCCAATCCACAAGGCAGCTGGGGCAGACGGGTAGAAAATAATAATCTTCTTATTTATGCCTTTTCTCCAACCTCCATCTTATCTCTGTCTTGTCTTGCCTACAGTGTCTACACAGCAAAATTTGAATCACTACTGAGCACGACTGCTGGTAATTGATTTGGCTGAGCTGCTACTGAGCATGGTAAGGAGGCAAGCAGAGACAGAGAAACTGTGTTCACGAGTGTGCTGAGGCGCGAATTCTAAGTGTGGCCCTTCCTCATCCCCACTCAAAGCCTGACTGCACTCAGGACCAGTTTATGTAACTAGTGACTGATGACGCACTTACTAGCCCCTTAATACAGTCCAAACAAGCCCTCTGCTTTCATTGACTGGTTTCTAGCACAAAAAGCCCCCCTGGGCATCCCACTAAGGAAGTCCGAGTGCCAAGGAATGATAGCATCCTAACAAGTTTCCGATGACTTCAAAAGATATTGGCCCTTAAGCTGGGGTGCCAAATTCAGGCCCTTTGGACAATCCCAGACCTAAAGCTACAGTCTTGGGTTACAGTTCTCTTCGTTGTTAGTTCTAGGGCTGCAGGCCCAAATACCAAGTCTGTGGGGTATTAGGAATGTAGTTGCTTTGTAAACTAATCGAGAATTGATCTTTCTCCTCCTATTGGAGAAAGGGGTTTATCACTGGGCTGAACTTTCCTGCAAGAAAAATAAGTGAAGGCAGGCATGCCCAGTTTTTGCACAAGTATAGTTTCTATTTACATACAACACTTTCTCCTCTCTTTCTCTGCTATTTATTAGGAACCTGGACTCCTTAACTCCAGTCATCTGAAAAAGTGGGCTGTGCCCACGAAAGCTCATGATACCATCCACATGTTTTGTTGGTCTCTAAGGTGCTGCAAAACTATTAATTTTTTAAAGTTTCCTGTTCACCACGCCCCTGCCTATGTCACATTCAAGTCCTTCCTTAAGATTCACTTCACTTTTCCCACAATTCCCATAAGAGAACCATTCTAATTATCTTAAGATGTCAAAACCCTCCTGTGAACATAAAAACAGCCATACTGTGTCAGAACAAAGCCATCTGGCCTGGTATCCTGTCCTCCCACAGTGGCCAATGCCACTTGCTTCAGAAGGAATGAACAGAACACAGGTAATCAGCTGATCATCCTGTCATCCATTCTCAGGTTCTGACAAAGAGAGGCTGAGAACACCCTCCTTACTCATACTACCTAATGGCTATATATGGACCTAACCTCCATGAATTTATCTAGTTCTTTTTTTGAACACTGTTACTCTTGGTCTTCTCAAATCTTCTGACAAAGAGTTCCACAGGTTGATTGTGCATGGTATGAAGAAATACCTGTTGTCTATTAATTTCATTTGTTTACTCCTAGTTCTTGTATTAAGAGGAATAAATATCACTGCCTTATTCACTTTCTCCACACCAGTCATGTTTTTTTAGACCTTAATCATATCCTTCCTTAGAAGTCTATTTTCCAGGTTGAGAAGTGTCATTTTATTAACCTCTCCTCACAAAGAAGCCATCCCATACCCCTAATTGTTTTTGTTGCCTTTTTCTGTACCTTTTCCAATTCTAATGTATCTCTTTTGAGATGGGGTGACCACATCTGCACACAATGTTCAAGATGTGGGCATACCATAGATTTATGGAGAGGCATTATGATATTTTCTGTCTTATTAAACAACAAGAAGTCCTGTGTCACCTTCTAGACTAACAAATTTATTGGAACATAAGCTTTCGTGGGCAAAGATCCACTTCTTCACATCTGACAAAGTGGGTCTTTGCCCACGAAGGCTTACGCTCCAATAAATCTGTTAGTCTAGAAGGTGCCACAGGACTTCTCGTTGTTTATGCAGATTCAGACTAACACAGCTACCCCTCTGATATCTGTCTTATTACTTATCCCTGTCTTAACGATTCCCCACATGCAGTTTGCTTGTTTGATGCTGCACACTGAGTGGATGTTTTCAGAGAACAATCCACAAGGACTACATCTCTTACTTGAGTGGAAACAACTAATTTGGACCCCATCATTGTACATGTGTACATGATGTACATGTAAGTTGTTTCTTCTTGACTTCCCTGTGAATCCCATCTTCATATCTTTTAGACTGAGAATCCTTTGAGGTAGGAACTCTCCCCCTTTGGGTTCTTATAGTGTTGAGTATTTTACTGGTGCTTGACAATGTAGAAGGATTGGAGTTGTGTAGTCCTGCAGGTTGGCACAGGGTGAATCTGAGCATTTCTAAATGGCATTGTTTAGACTGGACGCTGATGAACCAGACTAATTTAGGCATGTTCATTTGTAAAGATCACGTATACAGGTAACAAGCATGATGGGGTTTACAAAGACCACACTGGGCCCAGAGGGGCTAAAAGGCAAGCTCCCACTGGAAGAGCAGATTAAAAGGGATTTCAGAAGACCAGGCAAAGAGTAATGGACAGGATGCTGGAAAGAGCCAGACAGACAATAGAGCTTGAGAGGCAACTGGAGAGTGGATATGGCCTACAGGCAGTGCGATCTCTCACCACCATCCGTTTTGAGATTCTGCTCCTTTCAACTTTTTTATTGCTATTGAGAGACTGCTTATTTGGCCACGGCCCAACTTGAAGGAAGGAAGGAACCCAGGGAAGTGACTTGGACTTGCTGCATCGATTGGAGGACCTGACTGATATTGCTTTCCACAGGGCCCTGGGCTAAAACTTGGTGGAGAGGGAGGGCCTGGGCTCCCCTACCATGCCCCTTAAGGCTGAAGCCCACATGCTGATGCAAAGCCAAAGATTTCCTGCCACAAGGTGAGGAACAGGCACCTCTTGACCATCCTGGAAAGGGGCATGTGGCCAGAAGTCAGAGGAGCTTACCACTGCTATTCCGGCTTGTGAGCATGTTATCACAATGAAACGAGGCTAGAATGTGGCTATAGTGGCTGAAGTAAGAACAGGGCAACAAGATTCCTAAGTCTTATTTCTGTCTCCGCCACTGATTTTCTGTCTGGCCTTAGCCAAGTCACTTCTCTGCATCTCAGCTTACCAGTCTGTAAAACAGGGGAAACAACTTAGATCCATCTCTATCATAGGGGCTTGGATGGTTTAATGCATTACTGTTTATAAAGTATTTTCCGAGTCTTCAATGAAAGTGCTCTAGATATGCATAGAAAATTACATGTGCTATCAAACAGTGAATAATTCTTCCCATATGATGTATTCCAATTCTTTCTGTTTATAAATTGTCCATAATCAGCTGCTGGTTTTCTCAAATTGATGTCATTGGCAGTGATTTGTCAGTGAATGTGAGTGACTACCCCCTGTTCCAGAGAGTGTTCATAAGCAGGTGGTAGTGAGTATCCACTGTATGATTACAAGCCGTGGTGGATGTGTATGACCTATGGGCTCCTTGGTGCTCAGGTTCCTTAATATATTCAACATTCATTTTCTGTAGATAGTTACTTAAAATCCACCACCTCCATGTACGTTTCATCCCTGCAAATTCCTTTGCTCTGAGAGTTACAGAAAATGAATGCAGAAACGGGGCACACAGAATCTAGTGTGAAATCTGTTTTTCATTCAAGCCAATAGGCATGGAAAACATTTTCAGTTACTTGTCCAATTCTGTTACCAAGTTTTCATATAATACCCACTGCTACTTTCAGAACATCTCCCCCCACATCTTCTGGAGAGGCCTCTACACCCAGGCTTTGTCTACACTGCGAGGGGCTCATTAGCATAAGTCGCAATATCATTAGCATATTTTCTGCCATTTCTTTTTGCGCAAGGGGTTTTTGCCAGAGAGGCATAAGGATCTTGTGCAAAAAGAAACAGCAGAAAATATGCTAATGATTAGGGCTCACCAAGCCGCGGTGAGCCCTGTTCGCCAGCCGTGCTGTCCGGCATTCTGCACATGCGCAGATCGCCCGAACCTGGCTCTTCCGTCCGGCATTCTGCGCATGCGCAGATCGCCCGAACCCAGCTCTTCCGGGATGTAATCTACTCGCCATAGGTGAGTAGATTACATAGATTGTCAAACCCTGCTAATGATTATTGCAACTTATGCTAATGAGTCCCTCAGCATATTTTCTGCAGCACAAACTCGCAGTGTAGACAAAGCCCCAGGGTATATCCCAAGAAGAGATTTCTGCCTCCCAATGTGCACTCATATTATCCCAGCAAAGCCGATGCAAAGTGGCCACAACAGTGGACACTGAATCTCCATCTGTCACATGAGAATGACCTTTGCCTACTTCAGTGGCTGTAGTGAGACTTAATGCACTATAAAGTCCTTTGAGGTCCTTGGAAGAAAAGATGCTATAGGTCACTGGAATGTATCTTATTTATGTGTCAATAATAATGCAATCTCTTTACTAATAACATACTAAGAGCCACCACCATGTTTCATGAGGAGATGTCGAGCCTGTTATCTCTATATCCATGCTATCCAGATCTATCTCTAGATCCATGCTATCAGAGAGCAATGAAAAATGGGCATTGATGGTGAAGAACATCAGATTGTTTTTGTCATCTTCCTCTGCTGCTTCATATCAAGTGGCAGGACAAGAACAGAAATGGGGATTTTTGTAGCCAAACTCACCAACCATCCCCATCAGCCCTAGTTTGGTCTCAGCGGCTGTCTTGGTACAGGCATATTACTAGGATGGAAGAGAACAGATTCCGACTCTTATTTAGCAAGGAATGCTGCTCCAGGGCTGGTGAACACGTGTTCACCAAAAGCTTTGGTGGCACAGTAAGCTTCTAGTAATGGACATTAGATGGTCTGCCTGGACTTTTAAGATTTCAGGACCTATCTAGAGATCATCCAGAGTAGCATTTGATCTGTAAGGAGGCTCTGCCCCTTTGGGATTTACCACAATGATGAGTTCCATAATTTGAAGTAACCAGATGTGAGCAAAACAGTATCCAGAACTTTGTGGGTTCTGATTGAATGAAGCTTGTATCTGAACTGTGCCTTGTTTTGCCCATCTCTACAAATAACTTCTGCTTGGATAGCTAAGGGCACAGTTAAATACCATGGATCTGATCTTGCTGTTACAAAGCTTTATTTCTTTGTTTTTCCCCAGCAGATGTTGCTAACTACTGTATCTCCTTTGGTCTGAAGATGCCACTTGTGTAATGAGAGAAGAGCCAAGTACAAGGTTATCCAATTTACCTGCCTAAAAGGTAAGTCCTGGTGAAAATGACAGAGGGGGGGCTGCCTTCTGTGTGGCTAGTTCCTTGGATAAAGAAAGATGTTGGGAGGATATTCGTGTGGGGTTTGTCTTCTTCATTGTTTTACCACAGCTTAGTCCACGGTTTTCTTTGAAACAGTAAGGAGCCAGAGATGGGCCATGTGGCAGCAGGCACTAGTGAGCAAGAAATGAATCTCCACTCTGCAGCCCCTCACAATCACCACTGCTTGCACCCAGTACTTGGGGGAAAGTCTATATATTCGCTGGTGGGGAGACAGAACGGAGAACTACTGCGTTGGCCTTTGCTGAATCCAGAACTGGGTCTAACTTGACATTATCCTTTAAAGTGAGCCCTGGTGGCTGTGCTCTGTTTCAGCCATGTAGGTCTCCTAACTTGCAGAGCTAAACCAGAACCTGGCTCAGAACACAGCACATGGAGGAGAAGTGTAGCCTTAGATCTGAACTACACAGCCGGCAAACGAGCAGCACAGCCAGAACTCTCTGCTTCGATGCCACAAGAAACACTTGTTAAATTGAAGCAGGGTTTTCCGGAGACCAGGTACATAACCCCGTGTATTTCCTTTATCTTACTGATGCTGCTCTGAGCCTGGAGTTGGGTCAGTTTTGGGGGTGGAGTTCAGTTTTTGTTCCATAAAGAAACAGAAGCTTCCAGACTATGGCCCACCAAGCACAGAGCACTTGTATATGATATGAATTAGTTTCTTCCTTGTCCTTCATAACCAGTAACTGTGGATCATCTCACTGCAGAGTCTATTGTCAGTATATTAACTGAATTCCCCTAATGTTAACTTCCAGACCTTAATTGAGATGGCTTATTCAGCAATATTATCAGTATTATTTGAATTCCTGGAGCATCTAGAGCCTTCCAGTCAGAATCAGAGCCCCACTGTGCTGGGTGAACAAATCAAACAGTCTCTATTGGAGAGAGTGCTCAGTTTCTGAATTCACTGCTTTCTTCTTCACCTTGAAACCTCAAAGGCCTCTGTTCTTTAGAGAGACAGAAGCCACTTTGTGTTTAATATTGGTGTGTGTTTCACTGCTTTCCCACTTGCTTCTGACTTGTAATTTGCCTCACCACGCAGGTCCTTGCTGAGCTGGATGGCCTCCTGTGTTGCTCGCAAAATAAGGAGGAGCAGCAGCAGGTCAGGTCAGTGAAGGAGGAGCTACTTTTCAAAATTAACTTAAAAGCAATATCTAAAAACCTGGGAAGGCTTTGATCTTTCTAAATATTCCCTTTGTTCTATCGTTCGACAGTTCGTGTGTGCTTCAAAGGTAAGGTAACAATCCACCCTCTGTAGTCTTCCCTAAGCTGTGATCATAAACACATCCCTGAAATACAGTTTAAATAACTGAGCCCTACAAACTTAGTCAAGTAATGAAGATCTTTCCACTGTTCTTCTTGTTAAGAATAATAAAGTTCTGTCCTCATGGTTCTTCCTCCCTATGATGTAGTATTGACTGTTCAAAGGCGTACTGTGAAGTTTCCATAAATAACAACTAAGTAGTGTTGCCTCCTCTAGCCAGAGACAGCACTGGCTTGGCCTACCTCATGCTGCCCTCTTACTTAATGGTAACAGTGCAGCATATGGGGGAGAGAATAACCCCTCTGCTTTGGAGTCTTCTCCCTTAAGAAAATCATAATGGCTCGCTCAGCCTGGGACTCTCTGGGGAATGCTAGTTAAACCCAATGAGAAAGCACAGGACTGCAGAAAGCACCCAAATGCATGGGACTGCAGATGAGGGCACCTGCCACATTCCCTGTGCATGAAATTCAGCCACAGAGCAGGGGACCAGCACAAGGCCTATCTTTAAGCACTCTTTTGAGGACCTACGTGATGTATGAGTGCCCCTCTGCACAGGGATGAACATCTCCCCATATACCATAGGCAAAGCACGTAACCATTCTGTGAAATCAGTGTGGGAAGTTGTTTGTGGGATCACATATAGGAAGGTGAACACTAGTAAAGGAACTGGTGATTTCCGTAATCAGGGAGACAGCTTGGCCTAGTGGTTTTGACATTGAACTAGGCCTCAGGAGCTCTGGGTTGGGTTCCCAGCACTGTCACTGGATGAGCGTGGCCGAGTCCTTTCTCTGCACCTCATTGTCCCCATCTGTTACGCAGTGATGTGCCTGACCTCCTTTGTAAAGCGCTTTGATCTCCTGTACTGCAGGAGAGCGTCAGTAACCACTGTTGTTTTCAAACGAAAGATGCCAGTGAAATGTGTGGTGTTTTATTATTTTTTGATTGAAATACAAGATTTAATGAAAAGTTTCTATTTCCCACGGTTGTTCTTTCCTCTCTGAGGAAGAAAACAAGCCAAACAAAGCAGCCTCACCAGTGTTAGATAAGAGGGGTTTAGCGGGAAATGCTGGTAAGAAATGAAGGAAATTAATAGGCAGCAATAATTACACTGTAAGGCGCCCAATTTGTATTTCAATATGTCATTTACATAATAACAAAGCTGAACCATTTGGTAGCTAATGACACAGGCTGATCTCAAGGATTTGTTTTCTTGCAAGTAAGTTCCTTTCAATGGAAGCACTTTGATGTCTGTCAGCAACACATGCTCTTTTTGAGACAGTCTCTATTTAGTTATTGACACTGTGTCCAAGGACTGTTCCTCCCGCTTCTCATGCTTAGATATTGACAATGTGCCTAAGAGCTCTCTTCCCCTCCTTCCTCTCCTCTCTCTTCTCTGTTTCCAAGGCCAAGCTTGTGAGTCAATAATGGTAACTGGGCCAGGAAGGTGAAAGAGTCCAGACATCTTCCTTGGACCCAGTCCTGTTTTGTGCTATTAATGAAAACGGTGGATTTCTCAGCCCCTGGCCAATGTGCCCTATAAGCTGAGCCTTTGGGTGGCCACCTAGCAGCGATTCAAATGCCTCCCAGCTGAGTAGCAAAGTACACATAGCCAGAAGCATGTGTTTTTAATCTGCACATGCCTTAGTGCACATAACAAAATTTATTCTGCACATGGATGGAAAAATTTAGAGGTAACATTGCCTCTGGCCTCTCTGGACCCTGTGTGGCAATGTTATTTCATAGGTGCAGCATCTGTGCCTTTCACAGCTCTGCCACTGACTCATCTGCCATGCAACAAGTAAAAATCATGACATATCTGGGCCTCTGTTTCCCCATCTGTAGAATGGGGATATTTGCCTTGGTAAATCACTTTTTTGCATAAATGTACTCTGAGCATTGGGTGCTGTTGTTATTGGCCCAAATCCTGAAGTGCTTTCTTACTTTGTGTTCAGTGCTTACTCAGGAATAGTTCCCTTTGATTTGAATCGGAGTTAGTAAGAATGACTGCCTTATTTACACTGTTACTTGCTCACTGTATAGTCAACAAGGCAAGTACATAGCTTAAATAACACTTGCACTTTAAAGGGGTTTTTAAAAATTGATAGAGGCTGATGAAAATGTGGGGAGACAGGTTTCTTCCTGCATATCTGGTGGGGATACCCATTCTTAGTTCTTGCAGCTCAGCAATAACTCTCTTCCAAAGATACTTGCACTAGTTCTTAAAGAATTAGGCATTGAGGGAACTGAATTCCCAGCTCATGATGGCTTCAATATCCCACTGAATACAAAAAGAATAATGGATGTTGAAACTTTGATGACCAAAATACAAGACATGGGAGTCCTGGAGCACCTGACACACTTGGAAGGAAAGCATGAGGCAAACAGTCTCGATGACTGGCTCCCTTTCAGAGATTATCCAACCAAGCAAAGCTTCAACTCCCCAGAAAGACTTGGAGCCAAACTGTGATCTCATTCACATTGGTGTAAATCAGGAGTAACTCCAGAGCAGACTCTGACCCTTAGTGCTGCCTTCTACTATGAGACATTTCATTCCTAAACTATTGTTACAATTAAGGAAACATGCCCCCATTATTTTCCTGAAGCCTTTATCCTTTGGAAATCCTTTTAATTGTTCTTTGGTTGATTTGATGTTGTATCTTTGTTGAATTCCTATTAACCTTATAAAATGAGCTTGCAAAAAAAATGCAGAGCAGAGAGATGGATAAGCTCTCGGGGGAGGGAACTCTCTTTGCATGTGTACAGTGTCTGGCATAAAAGGGACTTTGAGCATAGTGGGAGATTTCTATGACCTACAGTTAGGGATGTTAAAAAGCATTTAATTAGGTAAACCTGTAACTGCTGAAGATTTCAGCAGATATGGGGTAGGGGGAGGTGACAGGCGGGAGCTGGTGCACGCTGGCTTCTGCATGTCCTCCCCAACTCTGATGCCTCTATTAGAGGCAGCAGCGCATGAGGGCAGGTGCTCTGTGGGAGAAAGTGCACGAGGGGTGCTGGAGTAAAAGCTGGCTCCCCACGTGCACCGGTTTCCGCCTGCCCCACTGCGCTGCTGCCTCTGATAAAGAGGCAGCAGCGTGCATGGGGAGGAGGGTGCATGTAACCATACATGTTAACTGATGAGCCTAGACTCATCAGTTAGCCATGTAAACAGTTACACTTTCACATCTCCTAATTACAGTACAGAAATATGAAACAGAACTAATGGATAAACTGTCAGGTGAAGATGCTTCTCACATTAAATGTGCTCCTGCCATAAATTCAACCCACCAATAAAACCCTGCCACAACTAGAAGAGCAGAACACACATGGACATCAAGATGAGACCGTCTGGATTAGTTAAACTGCATGCATACAATTGAAGGGGAAATCTACAGATTTTAGTGGTTTTTCTGTTTTGGGGTTTTATTTTTTGTTTTTTTACAACCCTTGTACCAGGAGTTCACTTGCCTAATTTGAGATTTCTTATGACAATCAGCACAAACTAGTGGGAGACCCATTTTGATTTTTGTTTGATCAGCCTGAATACAGACCAAATACAGCTCCTGAACAGGTTCCAAATAGTATAAGCAGCATGTGCAGTAAGGGATGTTTGTTAAACACTGTCCAGTGCTAACACACCAATCCAGTTTTGTCCATAATGTTAACAGCAGAGGATTGCTGGGATCTTTTAAGTACATTGTCTTTTGAGAAAACTGCTGTCATTTGTTTTTCTTCTCATCATGGCTAGCTACCTCAGAGAGCAACAAAGTCCAGTCTGCCTCATATTAGGGACTGAAAGGATGAGTGAGTCAGTTAAGACTTGTATGTGGATTCTCATTTATGAGAGGTCAATGTGGAGAAAAAAAATACCTTGGTCTGAATTCACCACTCATTCAGTGCAATAACACCAAAGAGTAATGTGCCTCCTTGATACTGACTCCCTCTTTGACCTGTGATGTCATTTCACTTTCTTGCCTCAGTTGTTCCATCTGTACATTGGGCAGAATAATAATTCCAACCCCCTCAAGCTATTGTGAGGATTAGTTATTTAAAGGTTGTAAATGCTTTGAAGGTAAAACATTCTGTACAAGAGTTAAATGTTAGTTGTGGAAACGTTTAGAAAATGAAAGCATTGTTAGTACAATATTTACAAATCTTAATAGTTCTCTCTCTTCCCTTTTCCTCAGGGGTCAGGAAGCATTGTTCAAACTCTATTGTAATCTGTATAAATCCAGGTCTGTTGCTCTTACTTGTATGAGTTACGCCTTTAAAACCACTGGGATTATATGTGTCTAAGGGGTGTGGTTTCAGACCTAGCACTGTACATAAAAAGAGCTGGGTTAATCACTGCAGCAGCTTCCTTTACAATCCTAAAGGAAATTTGGTTTAATGGGGTTGGCACAGTCTCAGTCATCATGGAACTGCAACCAGAGTTACCATATCAAAACACAGGGGAACGAGAGGCCATTTGATATTTAATCACGTGGGGCAGTCAGACAAAATCGGAAGTGGCTTAGGAAATGATTATCCATTGCTGGGGTATAAGCCATTCCTTCCACACACTTTCTCCAGAACACAACCTCATCAATGTTCCAGATGATTTAGCTGTGCATTGTAAAGCCTCCAGAATGTCTCTTGTAACCCCTTTGCTGTAGGCTCTTCAGTCCACTTCACCTGTTGCTTGTGCTCCCTGGGAACCAACTGAAATTGGTTATTTGGATCCATGGAAGCCCACGGAAGGTTAGACTGAAGGATGGGTCAGTTACATCTTGTACCACTCAGTATTTATATTGTGGTTTAGGCAAAGTTTCAGTACACCAGGCACAGGATAGTACATAAAGCAGGAAAACTAATCTACATTGCAATAAAAATTCAAAAATCCACTGCAAGGGGTTTCAGGGATTGCTACAGTTTGGAAGAAAGTGTCAGTTCAAATTTATCAATGCCCAATCATATTTTAAGGGGCAAATTCAGAGCTAATGCTAGCTTATATTACTCACCTGAGCAAGTTGTTTTCACTCTGACAACTCAGATGAGTAAGGCAACTGGACTGGCCCTAAGGTAGTGTTGGATACAGTGTGTGCTTTTTCTTCCTCCTTTTCTTGCTAAGGAATTAATTCTGCTACCATTAGCATTAGTGTGAATGGCAGGTACAAAACTGATAGCATAATTTGGCCCTTAAATATATGGATGCCACAATGATTGGACTTCGTATAAGAGCTCAAGTACATTGTGTGCAAAATTGCTTGCTGAAAATAGTCGGGGTTCTTCCTGCACTGATAATGCCAAATGACCTTCTCTTTATCCGCCAGCCCAGACTTGTTTTTAGACAGTGGCTCAATCAATGTATTCCCAAGAGTGGTGTAAAATTCACATTTCAATGGCTAGAGAACTAGATTCTCCATTTGGCCAATTCCACCAGGGACATGATCTCCAGACTTCTGATATGTCATTCTATCTACCTAAAAAGATAGCTGATCCCATCTGTGCCATACGGATCTACCCAGACTTGTTTGGAATAACCAGCAGCTAATTCATCCACTGAAAAGATATAGCCGCCCACCTCCCAATGGTGCATTACAGCATGAGGCTTCAGTGCTTTTCTTTTAAGGGTGGAAATAGGCACATCGTTATTTATTACCAGTATTTCAGTACTGCCTAGGAACTCCAATCAAGGATCAGGTCCCAGGCATGCTAGGCATGGAAGGACTAGTAATAAAGATAACTATACCTAAGTCCAGAGAGTACAATCTACGTTGTCAGAAGGAACAAGACAAATGGAGATGAGGGATTGTGAGAATGAGGGGACCATAAAAAGAATGTATCATGAAAACAGAAGTCAGTTTGCCATATGCTTTATCAGTGCCAGATAGAGGTGGGTTTTTGGACATCACAACAGAGGTAAGTTTCAAGGCAACAGGACAAAGGCCAGAACAAGAGCATTGAACGTCCATATAGGCAAGAATACCTGAGAAATGTTATGCAGGTTGAAGGGGCTTGAATGTGGGCTAGGCATGTGATTAAAGGACCATGTCCAAAATGGCATCCAGATTATGGCTCTGAGCGGTGTTTCCCCATGAGCTGGGCACTTGTGTGGCCAGCTCAGGAGAGGTTCAAATGCCACCCTGCTGATTAGTAGAGCAACCACTGCTAGATTTTTTTTTTGTTTCTATTGCTAGTGCATATTCGCACATGCCTTGGTGCACAAAAACATTTATTGTTCACGTGGATGGAAAAAATCCACACTTGGATGGAAAAGATTTGAGGGAACATTGGACCTGAGTACTAAGTCCCCTGCAACTATGCAGCTGCTTAGTTAGGGCCACACAGGTGCTCTAAGGACCCGCCACAGCTGGGGGAGGGCCTCCCCACTTCCAGCTCCAACCTAGCCTTAGACCCACTGCGGCAGCCAGGGTGACCCTTCCCCAGCTCCAGTCCAGCTGCCATGGCATGGAGAGGTGCCATCCCTTCCCCCTCTCCTGCAGCCCAGGTGCTGCTGTGAGGAGAGAGAACTTGGGGGAAGTCATTTCTCCTTGCAGTAGCCCCAGAGCTTGACCCAGCCCCACCCTATACCCTGCACCCCCAGCTGGAGCTCTCACACCCCTGCACTTCATCCTCTGTCCCAGCCTATAGTCCCTCATCCGTGGCCCTAACCCAGAGCTCACACCCTTGCACCACCACCTTTTGCCCCATGCCTGAGCCCCTTTCCACGCTCAGAACCCTTTAACCCCACACATCACCTCTGTGTTGGTGCAAATAACAAATTCATTCCACTTAGCAGTGGGAAAAATTAGAGGTAACACTGCCTGAGTAACTGGAAGGATGCTGGTATTTTCCATGGTGAGGGAGAGATGGAGAAGGAAAGGCTTGGGAGAATGGAGATCTCAGTTCAGAAGGGACAAAAACTTAAGTTCCCAGCTGTCCCTTCACAAAGATGCCACTGTACAGTTTGAGACAACAATTTCAGAGTTGATATGACAACCAACACTTGTGGGCTCTAATTCTGGTTTTTGGAGACAACCTTTGGGTCCAAGTAAGTTTTTAACTGTACACAAACCACTCAAACCAAGCACAAATTTAAAGGTTTCATATACAGTAAAATCTGTGTTATCCGGCACGCTCGGGGATTAGGGTGTTCCAGTTATCTAAGGGTCCCATCAACCTAGGTAAAACCAATGGACAATAATAGTAAAACAGGTTTTTAATATTTGTAGTTTTGTGGTGAGAGGCAGTTGGTCTCACATTTCTATTTTGAGTAAAAGATGATTAGTTCTTCTTAAATAAAAAATGAAGCCAATCATGGTAAAGCCAGGCCTGTGCACCTAAAGATGACAGTATTGTGGCTGGGGGCAATGCTGGTTAACAAAGTTTTCTGGTTAACAAAGACTTCACTGTACAACTGTTACAGGATGAAAACTCCAGTAATATATCCCAGCATCAAATTTATCTGTGCCACTAAGAGAATTGAGCAGCTGGATGTGTCAGTATGAGGAAGGGAGTACTTTGAAAGTATTTCGCAGGGACAATTCATTTCTCATACATCTGGCAATTAAACAGAGGCAAGACTAATTACTCTTGCAGGACTATTCAGTTCATAGGACTATAGGTGTGTTCCTAACTGAGGCCTGTAAGAAACGTAATGAAAGCAAACCACTCGGAATGTCATGTCAATCATCAGCCTCGGGCTAGTAGACTCCGCCAGATGCCAGCACTACTTACCCAAATACAAACTAATCCCATGAGTAAGGGCTGCAGAAACAGACCCCATCAGCATTACAAGCAAAAAAAAATATCTATATATCCAAAATGCCCATGGATTTAGTTGAAAAAGACCTGTCCATTCACCTCTGAGGCTGCAGTTCAAGTTCACCCAGCATTGAGAGGATAGTGATTTGCATTACATTAACACTCTCCATAGTGTGCATTGTCACATTTTGGAGTTTGGGGGTGATCTCTCTCTGCTCTTCAAAATGCCCAGGAATGAGTCATGATGGAGAATGAATTACCTGTCATTCCATGAAAAGAAGTTTCCTCCAGACAATGGGCTGAGGTCAGTGTGGTGGCAGCGTGGAGGAAAGCTGATGGATCGCGGGCGGGGGGAGGCAAACTTAATTTTCTAGGGCTTTATGTGCTTGTAAGTTATCTTTGAAAGCACTGACGTTCCTATGGTGAGAGAAGAATGTAAATCACATGTGCTAGAGCAAAATGCTTTTGTGGAAGTTAAAGATTGTCTCGTGATAGAGGACCAGACCTGGTGTAAAATTGCTGCAACATTCTTGCAGTCAGTGGAGTTGTCTACTTCTGCCTGGGCTGCATTTGCTCCAGAAAGAAAACAAAATGAAAGTATGGCTGTCTCATTTTGAAAGAGTCATTGGCAATGGTAGCTAATCAAAAGCCCACTGAAATCAACTGAAGGACTTCACTGAGTTCTAAGATAGGCTTGATCTTCACACAGAACCCCCAAATTCCCTTTATATTCTTCAGAAAAACTTTGCGTTTCTTTTTTCAGTGGAATCCGAAAACAGTTTGTAAAAGTAGTTCCCTGTTCTCACCAAGTATCCCAGGAGAGGGGACTGTTATTTACTTTACCCAGAAATGTCCAGAAGTGACATTTTCAGCTTAAAAAAAGAGAAAATAGCATTGATGTGAGCTTGTAGGGTCCTAAAAAAGGATACAAGAAACCACAGAGGAAAACCGTGGCATGCCAAGAAAATAAATTTTCAGGACTATCAGGATCTGTCACCTATAGAAGAAATTCATTGCCGTGCAGAGGGCTTACACATCACTGAAGTACCACTTAAGTCAGCGTACTTGAGGGCTTAAGCAGGATTTAATTGGCCCATGTGGGGATCTGTACAGTATTACTCAAGTCTTGTCCACAGTGGGAATTTCAGACACTGAAACCCCTGAATGTCAACAAGGAAAGCAATGATTGGTCCTTCTGAGTTTATTCCTGCCTGCTCCCCAGATAAATTCCATCAGTGCAAATTGTGCCTTTCCTTGTTGACACCTAGGTGTTGGCATAAGTAAAAATGAGCCAAATTAGTGGGTGGTGGGGCAAAGTTCCAGTGTAGATAAGAGGTAGGTAGGGTGTGTGTTGTACGTACATACCCACTAGCAACTTTCAGTAGCAAATTTCCAAAGGAGCCTTTAAAATCCCACTTGCTATGTCTTCTGCCAAATGGCTGCCTATGCAAAATGTGTGGGTTCAGCTTTAGAGGCTGGGTTGGCAGTTATCCCTAAAAGTTTTGGAAGAAATTGAATGAACATCTTTCAGAAGAAAAGTAAATGATAATAGTGCTGCTCTTTTATGTGTGCTCCTAGTTAGAGGAGGAAAATATCTGGGTTTTATCTGTGCCTTTTAGAGAAAACAGCATTGGTGTAAACTTTAAAATTTGTACCTCTGTAGACTTATTAACTCTAAATTATAGATTTACGGTTTGTTCTTGCTTTATGTTCAGCAGCCTTCCCATGTTAACAAGGGAAGGAGCTGATTAATAATGTCTTTTTTCCATAAGTAAGACATGACATCACAGGTAGCATTAGCATAATAGTGTTGTCAAGATGTAATGGGGGCCAGGTTGCACAAAGTTAAAGGGTTACCTTGGTCCTAAGTATCTTGGAAATTCCCACATACTCTATGCACCACTAATCCAGACATTAATTGTGGCACTACTGGAAATAGTCTCTAGGATCATGGATAGGATGCCCTCAATAGAAGGCTTTTGACTCTGGAACTCGTTTGCCTGTTCTGTCTTACATCTGTTGTCATTTAGGGCACAGTGTAAGTTTCATTTACTCCTGTTCCCATTATAATCATCAGGAGCTTTGCCACTGACTTCAATAGAACCATGATTTGTCCATTGATGTCTTGTGAGAAGGGAGGTGATTATTTAGACTCCAATCTGGCAATCCACTTTGTGCTGCTGGTTCCTTGTGCTCACGTGGAACCGCAGAGAAATCAAATGAGACTTCATGTGGGTACAGGGATTGGCTAAATATTCAGCAAGAAGCAGGGTAAGGGCCACAGCCTGGAAGCCAGAGAGAGTCATGGGTCATCTGCATTCAATACAGTGATAAGCACAACTTGATGTCTGCAAAAGATGATGCTCACAATGAAGGATGTGGGAAGGAGGTTGAGACCCAGATGCTCAAATGTATTGAAACACTCAGCTGTGATGAAATCAATGGGATTTGAGGATCCAAGCCTGAGTTCATTCAGTATGACATTGTCAATGAACACCATGTCTAGACAGGCAGTTTCTGTACACATGCTCAGAATCTCTTGTTAGAAACAGAATAAAATAAATACATTGATCAAATTGGAAATGGAATTGCAGAAATTCCAGGAAAGAAATGCTTATCTTGGCTACTGTTCTTAGCAAATAATAACAATGCTTTCAACCTGCTGTAGAGTCAGCTAGTGAAGAGTCCTAAAAAAAATATGCAAGAAACCATAAAGAAAAAGTGTGATGCCCTAATAAAAAAAAAATCAGGATTCTTAGGTTCTATCATCTATTGAAGAAATTTCCATGATGAAGTGGTATGGACCACGTATACAGTCTCCTACATGCACAGATCAGTTCTTTGGGAGTAGGGACTTTCCTTTTGTTCTGTGTTTGTACGGTGCTTAGCATAGTGGGGTCCTGGTGCTAGAGATTCTTGCAATACAAATAGTAATAATGGGAACATAATCAGGCCATGCACTTAAAGGTCAAGTGAATGTGAGCCTTTAGAAATTAGTAAACTTATGTCACAACTTGATGTTGATAAATCATCAGAGTGAAGTCTATTCCAAAATGGTAGTAATATTAGATCACTAGATTAATGCTAATGTATGAAAAAATGGGACATAGATGTCACAGCAACCCCAATTAATTATTTAAAAAAATATTATTAATAGTGCAAGGAGTGAAATGGCTGCCATTGACAGATGGTCAGTATAATTATCACTGGTTTGTCCTTCAAAATGGGCAGCAACAGACTTTTAAAGGCAGGTGAAATTTTAAAAAAGGATTAGAATGGGATTATCCCTGAGAGTGAGAACAGGTGCATCAAAGATCCTCTGCTGAGAGAAAAACCACAGTCGTTTTTAATTACATACTTTAAAACATTCCCATTAAAATCTGTTTGATTTGGGTTTCATATTGGTAATTTACCCCCAAGATGGCATCAGTGATGATCAGGAAACTAGAATGGTT